CTTGCCGCCGCGAGGGACGGGGCTGACGCCGGTGGGCGACGGCCACAGCGTCCTTTTGGGAGCCGGCGGCGGCGGGCGACGGCGGCCTGCCCTCGACAGCGACAGCGACGGCGACGACACTTCGATGCCGACGACGACGACGACGACGACGACGACGACGACGACGACGACGACGACGACGACGACTGAGGAGAGGAGGGAAGAGGCGAGGAGAGAAGGGAAGGAGGGAGGGGAGAGAGAGAGAGAGACGAAGGCCGCGGCGGCCTCCCTCCTCCCACCTTTTCCGCTGCCTCCTTGTGGTCATCCCCGCCCTCGTCCCTGCCCCCTCCCTCCTCCCTCCCTCTCCTCATCCTCCCCTTCGTCCTCCAAGGACCGTCGAATCTATCCCCAGAGCCCCTCGCAAGGGTCCATCCTGGCCGGCCTCCCGGACCGCACGACGCCCTCCTTCTTCGACTCCTTCGGACTTCGAACTGCGGACCCGTCTCCCTGAGGCTGCGGCCCTTCAACGGCCCCCCCGCACTGGAGCGGCGGTCGGGGGGGGGGGGGCAACAAAAACCGAGAGGTGAAGATAGGGATCCCACAAAGAACGTACGCGCCCGGCTATGTACGTGAACACGGCCCCTCGATCCGCGATACTGGCCGCGTGATACGAGCATTCGGGCAATGCGTACACCCTGCGAAATGCTAAAGAAATCATGGGTTAAGAAATTCATAGTCTCAGAATTTGAATAAAAACCCAACATGTCCATTAAAATCTTAAGATTGACACTGGAACGTTAAGAATAGTCGAGACTCTGGCCGAAAACTTGAGTCTTCTTAAGCATCGCCTGAGGTGTACTCTCGAAACCAGCGTGGATTCATGTACGTGTACGTCTTTCTTTCGCTCCTGAGAAGAGAGAAGACGAGGGGACGAAGGAGCAGCGAGGACGCCGGGAAACATCGCACGTCCACCTGGAGGCCCGGGAGGGAAGGGGAGGCCCCTGCTCCTCCTCCTCCTCCTCCTCCTCCTCCTCCTCCTCCTCCTCCTCCTCCTCCCCTCCTCCTCCCCCCCCCTCCTCTCCTCTCTCTCCTCCTCCTCCTCCTACCCCTCCTCCTCCCTCCTCCTCCTCCTCCTCCTCCTCCTCCTCCTCCTCCTCCTCCTCCTCCTCCTCCTCCTCCTCCTCCACCTCCTCCTCCTCCTCCTCCTCCTCCTCCTCCTCCCCTCCTCCTCCTCCTCCTCCTCCTCCTCCTCCTCCTCCTCCTCCTCCTCCTCCTCCTCCTCTGGCGCGCGGAGCGCGCCGGTGGCGGCGCCTGAGGCGCCACCAAGGGGGTCCAGCGCCGACCCAAGGCATCCACGCGGACATCCGAAAGCTTGCGGTTGTGCTAGCGGCTGCCCTTCGATATTTGGCGACCCCGCACCTCCTCCTCGTCCTCCTCCTTATCATTCCTCAGCATCATCTGCCACTCTAGCGAGTGCACTGTGCTCCGAACGGAGCTGCCAAGAGAAGGGTTTGATCGCATAAGGTCGTTAAATACCCCGCCCCTCCAGGTTCACGCATGCGCCTGGAGACTTATAGCGTGAACTGAACGGGTGAGAGCGAGTGCGAGCGATCATTCCTCAGCGAGGAACGACGACGTCGACGTCGTCGTCCTCCTCCTCCTGTATGTGAACGCCTCTGCTGAGAGGTCCCCCACGGCCCAGTCCTAGAGCCGAGCTCTCGGCACGACCACCCCGGCGACGACGACGACGACGACGACGACGACGACGACGACGACGACGACGGCGACCACCACCACCACCACCACACCACCACGACCACCACCACCACGACGACGACGACGAGGACGCCACACAGCCCAAAGTCCTGGAGCCGAGCTCTCTGCACGACCACGCCTCGCCGTCCGAGGCGAAGTCGTCCGCGGAGCACTCCGCCTTGCACTGCGCCCAGCCGGTCCCCTGCGCGCCAGGACGGCGCGCCGGGGGGCACGGACCGCACGACCGCCGACGTCCCAGCACGGATGGCACGGCACGACTGGCACTTGCAGCGGCAACGACGACGACGACGACGACGACGACGACGACGATAACGACGGCAACGGTCGTCGTCGGCGCCGTCGTCGGAGAGACGTGGCCGTCCAGAGCGAGGCTGCCCTCGATCGACGACGTCGACGTACTCCGTCTCGGAGGTTGCTGGGCGATGCTTAAAGCTGGCTTCCCTCGCGGCCTCGGCAAGAGCCGGCCAGGACGAAGCTCGGGAGGCATGGGAGTCCCCGCGAGCGGATGCTGGAAGAGGGTCGAGGACCAAGGATCGAGGGAGAGATCCTCATGCCTCTAGAGGTCTCGGCAGCCTCCGCGATGGCAGCTGAGCGATCGAGCGAATCACGTGGTCGAGACTACTTGCCCGAACCAGCCTGACCAGCAAAACCGAAAAACCCGCCACCCTGCCAGCCACCCACTGTAGCAACTCTCGGCTCGGACGAGACGGCGGTGTAGTCAAGGGAGGGGTAGCGAATTAATTGCGCAGCGGAGTCTAATGGCGCCTCCCGGCACCGGAGGCGCCAATGCATCCAGGATCCAGGCAGGATCCAGGAAAGTCGGTGGTTCAAAGATGAGGTCCTGAGGAAAAGGGTCCTAAGGACGTGAAGCCTCAAACAACGTAAACCCACACTTGGATCCCTTCCTATCCTTAGGTCCCCATCCCTCAGGACCCCATCGTTTGAAGGGGCCCGGGGACACAAAATAAGAGACACACTCCCCAGGACCCCTGATATTTTTACACAGCTTCTGGATGTCCGTCTTCCCCTCCACTTCGGACTCCACTTCCCCTATTTCCCCACATACGTCACTGGGATCGACATGCATGTTTGTCTGTACCTAGTTCCCCCACCTAATCTTTAAACCACCGAGACACGCGCCCAACTGCGGGGTCGAGGCTGGCTGCATGCAGCAGCTGTCGTGCTCCCCTCCTCCTTGCCCGTCCCCCCATCGTCCGACCCGATGCCTGGCCCGCAGGCCCGAAACAACCCGAGCGCACTGCGTTGCAGCCCCGTGAGGGGCGCTACACGGCACCGATCGACCGTCCTTTGTTTGGGGGCGTTGGGATGACTTCCTGGCCCTCCCAACCCTCTGGAGGCCTCCAGAGCACCGGCGGGCCGACGAGCTCCAGAGACCCCCAGCCCCTGGACCTCGAGACCTCCGGGAACCTCCAAGGAGCACGCCAGCTGCGCACATACTCCGATCGTGGCCAGGCCAATCCTTGGCCCAGGACCTGTGCGTACGCCGTCCTGGCAAAGCTAGGTCAGGGGGAGGCTTTTGTTCAGACGTGGGTCAGAGTCAAGCGCAAACTTTGGGGATTTTGGACGAAAAAAAAGATAGTCAAAAAATGAAACTGAACGGTTTAAAAAATACTCCCAAAATCGTCCCCTGACCATTGTTTGACTATTTTTGAGGGTTCCTCCCGTAGAGGGCCAGGCCCGACTTGGCTCCCAGGCGGCAGGCAGGGACCGAACGAGGGCCCGAAGGAGACGAGCGAGCGAGATGTTCACCGAGAGACACCACGGGGGAGGGGCGGCGGCCGAGCGAAGAAGCGAGGCTCGAAACCCGAAGGGGCACGCCAGAGAAGGCTGTCGGGGGGAGGCCAGGACAGGGCAGGGCATCCGCACGAGGGGGTCAACGTCAATGCGCCCGCAAAGGTGCGGTGTAGAGCGTAGGCGCAAGTGCCCTGCGCGAGTGGTATGCAGCAGGCGCTCGGCAGCAGGGGGAGGCTGGGGAGGAGGAGGAGCTGGGAGGAGGCGAACGCTCAATCCTCGTCCCTGCTCCTCAACCCGTGTGTCAGTGCGTCCGGCTCCTCGCTCAAGCTTGGGACTCCCCTTCAGAGGTTGCTGGAGCTGCACGTGGCTGCACAGAGGATGCTAATTTCTCAAGTCCTGAGGCGTCTGCTTGGAAAAAAATATCCTGGCAAAGCAACCTAACAGCGATGTGTAGGAGCATATCTGGAAGCAATCCCATTAAGATTCCGATGAGAATCCAGTTGTAGAATTCTGCTGTTCTCGCAGTCGCAGTCGCATTCGCGATGACAGTCGCAGTGGCAACGGCAGTCGCAGTCACAGCCTCAGCCTCAGCCTGCCTCAGCCTCAGCCTCAGCCTGCCTCAGCCTCAGCCTGCCTCAGCCTCAGCCTCAGCCTGCTTCAGCCTCAGCCTCAGTCTGCCTTCAGCCTCGGCCTCAGCCTCAGCCTGCCTCAGCCTCAGCCTGCATCAGCCTCAGCCTCAGCCTCAGCCTGCCTCAGCATCAGCCTGCCTCAGCCTCAGCCTCAGCCTGCCTCTGCCACAGCCTCAGCCTGCTTCAGCCTCAGCCTCAGTCTGCCGTCGGCCTCGGCCTCAGCCTCAGCCTGCCTCAGCCTCAGCCTGCATCAGCCTCAGCCTCAGCCTCAGCCTGCCTCAGCATCAGCCTGCCTCAGCCTCAGCCTCAGCCTGCCTCAGCCTCAGCCTCAGCCTGCTTCAGCCTCAGCCTCAGTCTGCCTTCAGCCTCGGCCTCAGCCTCAGCATGCCTCAGCCTCAGCCTGCATCAGCCTCAGCCTCAGCCTCAGCCTGCCTCAGCATCAGCCTGCCTCAGCCTCAGCCTCAGCCTGCCTCAGCCTCAGCCTCATCCTGCTTCAGCCTCAGCCTCAGTCTGCCTTCAGCCTCGGCCTCAGCCTCCACCTGCCTCAGCCTCAGCCTGCATGAGCCTCAGCCTCAGCCCCCAGCCTCAGCCTGCTCAGCCTCAGCCTCAGCCTGCTTCAGCCTCAGCCTCATCTGCCTTCAGCCTCGCCACCAGCCCAAGCATGCCTCAGCCACAGCCTCATCAAGCCTGAGCCTCAGCCTCAGCCTGCCTCAGCCCCAGCCTCAGCCTGCCTCAGCCTCAGCCTCAGCCTGCTTCAGCCTCAGCCTCAGTCTGCCTTCAGCCTCGGCCTCAGCCTCAGCCTGCCTCATCCTCAGCCTGCCTCAGCCTCAGCATCAGCCTGCATCAGCATTCAAAATGTGGCCCGGGAATGGAGTTCTGGGAACTCGAAGAACACGAAGTGGCCTACAGTTGGCTCCGGGCATTCAAAATCATGCCCAGGAATGGAATTCTGGGAACTCGAAGACCACGAAGTGGCCTACAGTTGGCTCCGGGCATTCAAAATGTGGCCCGGGAGTGGAATTCTGGAAACTCGAAGAGCACGAAGTGGCCTACAGTTGGCTCCGGGCATCCAAAATGTGGCCCGGGAATGGAGTTCTGGGAAGTCGAAGAGCACGAAGTGGCCTACAGGTGGCTCCGGGCATCCAAACTGTGGCCCAGGAATGGAGTTCTGGGAACTAACTCGAAGACCACGGTGGCACGAAGTGGCCTACAGTTGGCTCCGGTCATATCAAAATGTGGCCCGGAATGGAGTTCTTGGAACTCGAAGAGCACGAGTGGCCTACAGGAAGGCTGCCTGGCAAACAGAAAAAAGTTGCCAGGGAATGGAACTCTGGGACCTCGAAGACCACGAAGTGTGTAACTGTTTGATTAAAACGACTTCCGCGGATTCTCCCCGGATAGTGCCCGGACCCCCCTGGGGAGTCATGATGCTTTCTTTTGAGACCATTAGGAACCTATCAGTCTTCGCTGTTAGGTAATGATCCCAGCAAAGCAACCTAACAGCGATGTGTAGAAGCATATCTGGAAGCATTGCCCTTGAGATTCATGTAGGAGTCCTGGTGTAGAATCCCACCAGCCCTTTGGGCGTGAGAGCTCTCTCTGTTCTCAACCCCCCTTCTTCCCCTTCGGGGAGGGGTTTACCCCTCCCCCTACCCCCTCCCCCTGGACCTGGAGAGGGGGTTTCGCGGGTGGTCAGAGGGTCCTTTTTCTATCCCTGGGAGGGCTTAAATTCGACACCCCTCACGAGGATCGTGGCCCCGACGGGGGTACTGACAAAAATGCTCGCCCCATCTGTGATCGATCGCCCCAAAGATGGCCCCAAGATACCTCCCAGACCCCTCCCAAAGAGCCCCAAGAGGCCACAAGAGGCCTCCAAGAGGCCCCCAAGATGCCCCCAAGAGGCCCCCAAGAGGCCCCAAGAGGCTCCCCCGAGGCACCCAAGACGCTCCTGGAAGCCCCTGGAGCCGCCAAGAGGCCCCCAAGACGCCCCAAACGGCCTCCAAGAGGCTCCCAAGAGGCCCGAAGAGGCTCCCCCAAGGCACCAAAGACGCTCCTAGAAGCCCCTGGGGCCGCCAAGAGGCCCCCAAGACGCCCCAAAAGGCCTCCAAGAGGCTCCCAAAAGACATCTACTACTACTACTACTACTACTACTACTACTACTACTACTACTACTACTACTACTACTACTACTACTACTACTACTACTACTACTACTACTACAAACTACTACTACTACTACTACTACTACTACTACTACTACTACTACTACTACTACTACTACTACTACTACTACTACTACTATTACTACTACGACTACTCTACTACCACTACTACTACTACTACTCATGCTGCTACTGCTACTACTACTACTACT